TTGAACGTGAACAGCATAAATGAGCAGGTTCATGCAAAGGATTTACATAGATGAAGTCAGTTCGGCAAGCCTACAGACCAAAAAGTGAACGAATTTTGTCGTCGAGCATATGTGAGACGCGCCGCGGCAGTTATAGTCAGAATTGCCTAGGCGGAATACTTCCCAGAGTAAGAGATGGTAAACGTAAAGTAACACAGATAGTTGCGGTGGGATATGTGTTTTTGGAGCAACTGCGCTGATACGGTTTTGCACACAATTCGTGACAGGTTAGTGCAGGATGAAGAAAAATCACAAAAAACGTTGTAAGCATGGTAGCATACAGGCACGGCTAAACATACGTGGAGTTGTATGAGTAGGAGAAATATGCGCAGAACTTGTAAACTGAGATACCGAGCAACTAGCCAATGAGTGTAATGGAACAGCAACTTTGGCGGGCGGCGGCCAAATATCGCCTCTCCTCCAACATCTTCTGTTGCAATCACCACCCGCACAGAATAAACCGCCACGGCGTCCTATCACTGTATCAAATCGTTAGGTCGGGGTTTGGGATACCGCTGCTCAAAACCTTCCCGTTCTGATTATTGCCCCTTCAGTTTATTCACCCAATCGTCCCATTCCAAAATTCACAGTCATACCACCCGTTTTTCCAACCTACGTGTCTTGGTCCTCCACAACCTATGCTTTTGAGAGACATTTAGGCTTTCTACGTTGTCAACACCATTCATGATTCAAACGTCACGAACGCCCATACTTTCCAGGGGGGGGGGGGGGGGGGGGGGGGTGGGGGGGGGGGGGGGGGGGGGGGGGGGGGGGGGAGGGGGGGGGGGGGGGGGGGGGGGGGGGGGGGGGGGGGGGGGGGGGGGGGGGGGGGGGGGGGGGGGGGGGGGGGGGGGGGGGGGGTGGGGGGGGGGGGGGGGGGGGGGGGGGGGGGGGGGGGGGGGGGGGGGGGGGGGGGGGGGGGGGGGGGGGGGGGGGGGGGGGGGGGGGGGGGGGGGGGGGGGGGGGGGGGGGGGGGGGGGGGGGGGGGGGGGGGGGGGGGGGGGGGGGGGGGGGGGGGGGGGGGGGGGGGGGGGGGGGGGGGGGGGGGGGGGGGGGGGGGGGGGGGGGGGGGGGGGGGGGGGGGGGGGGGGGGGGGGGGGGGGGGGGGGGGGGGGGGGGGGGGGGGGGGGGGGGGGGGGGGGGGGGGGGGGGGGGGGGGGGGGGGGGGGGGGGGGGGGGGGGGGGGGGGGGGGGGGGGGGGGGGGGGGGGGGGGGGGGGGGGGGGGGGGGGGGGGGGGGGGGGGGGGGGGGGGGGGGGGGGGGGGGGGGGGGGGGGGGGGGGGGGGGGGGGGGGGGGGGGGGGGGGGGGGGGGGGGGGGGGGGGGGGGGGGGGGGGGGGGGGGGGGGGGGGGGGGGGGGGGGGGGGGGGGGGGGGGGGGGGGGGGGGGGGGGGGGGGGGGGGGGGGGGGGGGGGGGGGGGGGGGGGGGGGGGGGGGGGGGGGGGGGGGGGGGGGGGGGGGGGGGGGGGGGGGGGGGGGGGGGGGGGGGGGGGGGGGGGGGGGGGGGGGGGGGGGGGGGGGGGGGGGGGGGGGGGGGGGGGGGGGGGGGAGATTATTGAAATGGGGTAATTTTGTGAGTGAAATGGGGAAAAGAAGGAGTAGGGGTAAAAGAGACCCTCCATCAGATTAGCATGCCTCAGCGCACATACCGTATTGCAAGCCAATGGACCGGCAGCACTTCTTCCTACATTCGAACTCCTCACGATGAGAGATCTGCTGCTTTTCAGGCACTGGGCTAAAAGACCCGAGCTCTGTCCTTAATTTGCGATCCTACTTAAGTAACCCTAGCAATGCCCCCTCCAACGCTTCTATCCATAGGCGATGCAGCTTTGTGTACTGGCCAAGCCCTTGTTGGTATTGCCCTGAGTCACCTTGTTGAAACCGCCTTACAGTAGGTGGCTGTCTGCGGTCGGACTGGCTGGTATGATCCAAGCTTCAAAACCTCGTGGGGATATTAAGTGTCTGTTTCTCCTTGCTGCCTGCGTCTCTACAAACTGTAAGGATGACTGGGGAAAAAAACCGATTTATTGGCAACTGAACGAGTTCCTTCGCCACAGTAGAAGCACGGACACTGCAGTGCTTGCTGGGAATCTTAAGGCTCAAGTGGTAAAACTGTCCACCCATGAGCTGCACCTGGGCAGCCAACTTTGTGCAGGGCCCAGTAATTACAATGGCGCGCGGTTGATTGATTTTGTGCAGATGCTCCCTTAGTTCTTGCAAGCTCTAACCTCCGACACATTAATCTTTTGAAGGCAACAGGGCGCCGACCAGCATCGAACCGGTCATGGACGCAAATCGCACACATTTTGCTCAATTATCGCTGGAGAGGCTGCATCCAAAGCGGCCGGTAGATTTGGAGCACATGTGTGGACTTTGTTTATGCAATTGTATGTGCTATTCTGTGAATACATTTTGGCCGACGATCACTTCGACTCTGTGAGCGCATAGGCACCAGGCAACCGGCGAAGTCAGGTAAACTGAATGCGTATCGAAGTACGCTGGGTATTAGGTTGAGCAAGCGGTCATTGAATATGGTAGCATGTCACCAGTCGCATGCGCACCAGACTAAGCTATCAGCAGATAAATCATCCCATGTTAACTCCACTAGACAAAACAGACGTTGGGACTCTTTGCATTGTCGGGAAGTTATCCATGTTCATTGCCACGTTCCGGCTGGAAGCCTACAGAGCGGGATCCGCCAGGACATCAGGACAAAGCTGCGTGCTAGCCTGAACAGAGACCGTGAAGCGTCTCGGTCTCATAGTGCGTCAGAGATGAAAGTGGCTGCTGTCCTTGATAACCATTAGAACTGGTTCTATCTAAATCGGGAAACGGTAGCAGGAGAACACGTGGCAGTGAAACTTTACGTGACGAGGGTGGACAACCTATGCACAACTTATCGAAACTTTTGGAGCGTTGGGCTGAGCATTTAAAATGGCAATTGATTCGACCGGAATTGTTAGACTCCTCACCATCTAGTGATGGCAACGCTCCCCGGTCTGTCACGTTTTATCTTTTTATCTCGCTCCTAAGTGCAGTGTGTTATAAATAAATAAATAATTTATCCTCGAATACGCGAAGCACGTTTATGGAGGCAAGATCAGACATGTACAATTTTAAAAACATTTTATGGCAACTGTAACAGTGACGGTAGAAAATTGTTCATATGTCCATGATGGGAACAATACAATGGTGAAAATGCGAAACAATAATTCGGCTGTCATGAGATACGTGACCTCAGCTAATAATAGATTTTGAGTTGGAATTATGCCTACGGGCCATGTAATCTCCACCCAGTTTACTTCAAAATTCAGGAGCCTTGCTCTTATTGAGGATCTACACGAAGTACTACTGAAACTGAATAACACAAAATTCTCCCAACCGACTAGAGCCACACAGTTACTGTCCCGATCTTTCGACGTGGCCTGCATACGGAATGCGGCGACTCCAGATGTATCAGCCTGATCCCAATCGCCTCTTGGTTACTTGCCACCATAATACTGATCAAACTTACCGGAGATCGCAGAAGCATATATATATATATATATATATATTGGTCAAGCTAGTCGTCAAGAGAAAGGCCACAACTGTTCCAGACTAGCTGGAACAAGTAAAGGAGTGTCTGGCAGCCAGCAATTGATTAATATGTAATGAATGACCTCGGTGTGCTAGTCTAGAGGCTTGCCAAGTCAGAGCCCAAAGTAGCCAAAAGGATACTATGCCAGCGTAGTCGGACAGCAAAAGAAAGCTATGCAATTAGGGAATGAGTCAAGACAGGACAGCAAATTTAGTGGCCGACAATAATAGTGTAAATGGAGCCTTAGTCGGAAGGTCATGACCTAGGAGCCAAAACTGAGGCGTCATTAGTTCAAGGGCCTTACAAGGGTTAAGGAGAATATGGGTAAACCTGGCCAAGGCTGTGGCGTCAGAGAAATATGAATAGAGAGAATGAGACAGCGTGACGTATGTATCGGCACAGAAGATCGCTATGCGGTGTAATATAAGTAGGTAAACAGTTCATTCTGGAATTCATCGAGGAACACTAACTAAGGCATGAACAAATTTTACAAACAAATATGTTTTGCAACGGGCTGGCTGCTATAAAATTAAGCTGCAGGGGCAGAAGGTTATGCGTGTTCCAGAAATTGCGTAATTACTCATGAGGTACAAAGGCGTCGGCATGATGATGCTAACTTTATTTCGTTTGTGCTTAGAGAAAACTTTAAAAGTGCGGTAAATGAAGTGGTGCCGGAATGTGCAGACAAGCGTACTTTTTCTACGTACAAAGGAAATACTGAAATATGAATCTATTCAGCTTGTTAGTCTGTAGATGCGGTCAGTGACGTCATGCAGTGGCGAGGCACACCCGCAAAATCACCGCGTTGTTAAACGGAATTTTGTAGCTGTTTATAAGGCCAACGCAAGCCAGGAGAAAACCCATCACGTTCTGGAACACTTTTGTCGAAACATTTTACGATAATAAACATTGATAAAGGCAACTAAGTGAACGAATGTTTACTCGGCTTAATTTCGCTGCTGATGTGGCCGTTAATTACTTCTACTTTCCGTCCTTTCAACTATGACTGCAATGCAGTTCGTGCCTCTTCTCAAGATCAAGAAAAACTGTTTTATCTTAATTAATCTAGCACACCCTCAAGCTTGTTCGCTGTTCATTTGACATACCTGTCTTGTGCCTCGCATAGTCAAGAATAAAATATTTATTTATTTATTTATTCCTAGTACAAGTCTATTTTAACGAGTTTGGCTTACGCTTCCAACTTATCCGCATCTTATTCCCATCGTTTTCCGAAATCTCAGGACAATTCCAAAACTAGCTCTGCAATCCTGTTATCCATACACCGGCGGTATAGGGTCCATACACTTATCGCTCTTGCTCCTAAGTGTTGAAGGCCTATTAGTATATGCCAGCAGCTCACGACCGCGAGCGGCTTCTGCTTTGCAATTAACTCGGCACTTACGTGAGCTATGCTCTGTAGTCCACTGGTTTACCTGCTACACCCTAGTATGGGAAGGCATTCAAGCATTGCAACAAAGCTTGCTATCGAATTGAGGCTGGGGGTTACAGTTATCAGATTGGTTGGCGACCACAGCGCTTTGTTGAGCTATGCTGGGTGGTGCTATTAATACCTTCAATGCCACTCCTACCAGATTGCTCTATGGCCAACGGCCAGACCTACTCCGTCGCCCAGACAACCGTGTTGGCATTGGGAAAATGTTGTTACCTTAAACATTAAAGCGGACCGCTTTTAGTCCAATGCCAATGCCGCTGCCCTGCGGGCAGAAGTTTGAGCCCGAGGTTTTGTTTAAGAACCACTGGGACTGGCCGACGCATTCTCAATAGCCAGCTAGCCTAAACACTTGAGTCTTTCTCCAAGTGATAAAAAACCAACTCATCGATATAAATGGTGCTCTTTCCGCTATTCTGGAGACGTCAGTTTCACGGGGTCCAAACAGATGGGTTTAGCTTGCCTCGTACTCACAGCATTACAATTCACTCACCTGAACTATCTACATGCATCCGTTGTGAAACAAAGGAAGACAAACAAAGCTGATGTGACTACCTCAGTTAGCGTTGCTCAATCACACCCGCATTCAAAAAAGTGGTTTCAGTGCCATACTTTTTCGAAAGAACACGCCGACTCTCCGTTGTCCCGGAGCTTTTCTGACGTCATTCCACGGAAAGTTTTACTCTTGTATAAATGGCTTTCCGATGGCCCAATTGTGCAGTTTTCACTTGACCGTGGAGACGATTACACTCACTTATATTTGAAGGAATTCCGATTCCAGTTTGCGGAGTTAGAAACCCGTAACGATCCCGCACGGGACAACGCAATGGCATTTTCGCCTGTTATGAACACAATTAGCCACAAGGAACAACTGCACTCACCGTCCCCATGACCAATCCAGCGTGGATAGGTGGACACGGTTTGCGAACCAGACAAGTATGTAACGGTAAAAGCCAGTCACTATTACCAATATTTACTCAACTTTATCATTCGACTCTGCGACTATTTTGCATTACTGACCGGTTTCGAGGACTACTGCCGGTACACTACCAAGCCAATCGGTCAACCAAGGAAGAATTTTGGCTGCCAACTGACTGAGAATAATAGGGTGCAAAATCGGTCTGTACGATGTATAGCCAGTTAGCACTAATGTTCAACGGACGTGGTGGGCTTTCGCCTGGCAAGCGTTCTCCCTATAACTGCCACAAACGTCCGTTTAATAACACTGCAACGTGCTGGAAGTGAATCGCCACTGATAAAGTTGCAACTGAACATTTCACACAGTCGCCGTCCTCACTTCTACACTCAAGCGGTGCGACTGATTTTACTATGAAGAATGCTTTGATGGAGCACAGCACATCCCGAAATGGTATCGCTCATTGCTTGCACCGAAACCTTGGTTGCGCCCTTATGCCCATGGATTATTTCATGGCGAAATCACGCCCATCATGTATTTTGACACAACAGTTGTGAATGATTTTTGCACGCCACAGCCCATCATGTCACTTGGTCTGACTAATACCTGACGAAAT